CACTGACTGTGAAAGAAGAGTATCAAATGGCTGACACTGAGTTTGGCCCTCTCCTCACAGCCTGAAATTGCAGCCCTGTGGAAGGGTAACTGAACACTTGGTGAATCAACCTCTGAAACATGACAGGTTTTTAGGGCAGTTTAGATTTCAATAAACTGGAATGGTTTCTAGCTTTAATACCCAGTGCTGAAATCTGTAGTTCTAATTTTCTTCATTATCCATTTGGTCTTCCTTTCCATGACAACTACTACCAATCATCATTCTTTCCTTCTAGAAGCAAGCATCACATTCAGTGGCCCAACTTTTAACCCGCTATCGCACTGCAAACTATATCTTTTAATCTGGAAACTACATGTCCTGGGTTGAGTAAGTGGTGGAGTTTTTTGGTGGCAGGGGAGGGGGCTATCGGGGCGGCCCCCTGTGAGAAGCTTCTCGAAGCTCCCCCAGCTCCACGTCAGCTCCACCTCTGTTTGGGAAATTGAGCCAATCGGCTGCGCCTCTGCGATAACATATTTAAGAAGGGACGTGGTGATGGGCAGTGGGACTTGTGAGGAGGAGTTGCTGCAGCTGCGTGAACACCAAGGTCAGTGGAGGAACGGAGGAAGAAAGGAGGGGGGAGGTGTGCCGGAGCAGAGACCCCCCTGTATCCTGTGGCAAGACGGCAGGGCAGCCCCCCCTGCCACCCATGAAGATCTACGGTGGAGCAGACATTGATTTGTGGCCTGTCGTTCCTGTTCAGCTAATCAAGTTTCTGTGCCCGAAGAAGGCCGGGGTCTCATGGGAAAAGGCAGCCCCACTGCTGTAGTTCAGTGCTGGGAGGATTGCAGCATGCGGGGGAGTCCCACGCCGGAGCAGCTCGGGAAGGGCTGCAACCGTGGGAGGGAATCCAGTCGGAGGAAGTTAGTGACCCATGACGGAGCAGTGTGTGGAATGCTGCGGCCCGTGGGAGGAATTCAAGTCGGAGAAAGTTTATGGAGGACTGTCTCCTGTGAGAGGGGGACCACGATGGAGCAGGGGGTAACAAGTTTTGGACACTCCCCTCACCAAACATGAAGGAAGTGGCAGCACTGACTGCACCCCCCATTCCCTGCCCCTGCGCCACTGGGGGAGGAGGTAGAGATATCGGGAGCAGAGCTGAGCCCAGGAAGAAGGGAGCGGTGGGGGGAAGGTGTTCTCAAGAGGTGGCAATGCTTCTCACTGTCTTACTCTGTTATGTGTTGTTACTGTCTGTAATAAATGTATGTTCTTTTTTTTCTTCCCCTAACGAGTCTGCCTTTTGCTCGTGATCATAAAAGGGGGATTTTCCCCCATCCCAGTCCTATCTTGAACCCCAAGCCTGGCTCTCTGTCCCTTCTCATTGCCGGAGGGGAAGGGAAAGAGAGCTGCTGCGTTGTGGTTGGCTGCCAATCAGGCCTAAACCACGACACTACACTAAACCACTATATAATTTCCTGCGAAATTCATTTTCAATTTATTAAAACCCTTGAAAATCTTAAAATTTTCATCACTATATTCTATTTAGAGAGAATAAACTACTCAGAATGAATACTAATGAACAATCTTTCAAGATACGAACAACAAGCAGATTTACTCCACAAATTGCTTTGCAGACATTAGCTATACAAAAATGCACATTGTATCTTTCAAAGGAACCACTATTCATACTATTTTATAAAGACTATATTTGCTTAAAAAATAATCTTGCTCATCAGTGAAGAGCTAAATAGAAAAGTATATGAAGACATCAACATACTGGAGGTATTGGAAAAGTTCTGTAGAAGGACAGAATGTCTTGGAATCTAAATACGGAAAACAGAGCTATTTAAGTACTTAAGTCAAAGTACAAAATTTAGGCCCTTCTACTCCTCAGCTCTTTTGTCCATGTCAATCTTATTCACAAATTGATTATTTGAAGGAAGGATGCTTTCAGAATTCATTTACATTATCAAAAAAGGAAGTCTGTAAAAACAATTAAAAAACAATTGCCCTCAAACTACCAAGACTTAACTTGCCAGCAGAAAGAAGACATATATCATCTATTTCATTCATTCAACTACAATATGACAGTTAAACTCTGCTGATTAACTTTATGTATGAAAGCTTTAGTTTTTAAAAAAACAAAAGCAAACTGTATAACTTGTTTCACAGCTGCTCTACTGCTTATAAAACCAGTTACCAAGTTTAGCCAAGCAAGCTGTATTCCAGGATGCTCACAGAACCAAGAACCTCAATTGTTCTTCACAAGATTTATATTCTAGGTATTAAGTGTGTTTCTTTGACAAACAATACTGTTGAAATTTGTGCATGCCTGATGTATAAGCACAAAGAATTACACCAGTGCTTCATATATTTAGAAAGTACCTCAAATATCTAATACTTTAATTCTATGCTTTCTATAGAGTAATTCCAAAAAACTGAAGAGACAGGCACAAAAGCCCAATCTCCCACCTCTTTAAAAAGGAAAGCAAGTACTATTTTGTCTGATTTTCAGAACTTCCCTCTCAAAGCATACATTTAAGGAAAGTAGCCACTCTGTGAAGATATTTCCAATGAGATTTTAAAAGCAACAAAAAAGGCTGCATCCAAAATCAGGTATCACATACAAAGGCAAGACAGTTACACATCAAACGGCACTTTCTTTGTTTCCCTAAAAAATTATGCAGTGCGTAAATATGTAGGAAATAACTTCAATTTAAGTGTACAGTACCCAAACATAACCCTTACCAAATGACTGGGATCATCTTCTGGCAATTGTCCAATTCAGTGATTTCTGACCATATGCTTGTAAATAATCTCGGTATCTTACATGCAGTGTTAATCTTACATATAGATATATAACATAACCATAGCTATACCTGCTTTTTTCTCCCTACTTAATGAAGAAATCTGAGGTTCTTTTAGAAATCTGTGTGGAAAAAAGCAAGATCAACTCATGTCAAAATCTGCAATGAAGGGCAGAATTGGTTGGCACATCATGAAATTAAATCCTTCAGCTTTGTTTGTGAAGAAACAAAGAAGCCAGAGAATATAGAGAAGCAAGCCTGCTGAAATACAATTCAAAACTGACTTGAAATCAGAAAGACATGTTTCATCGTACGAAATCAGTACCCTTTTGAAACGTCAGTACAGAAAAACATCTTTTCATCATCAGTTAAATGTATCTGCTTAAGTCTTCCTCCTATCTGTTTTGAAGATTTGCAGGTTCTATTTAATTTGAAAAATTCTATAATCTTTAACTTGCCTGAAGATGCTGCAAATTTTCAAGTTTGCTGTCCTGCAGCACAATTGAATGGTGTTTTGCAAACACAGATCTACATTTGCCATGGAATGCAGAAAACAGTAGTTGTATACATTCTTTCTCTACATTTTCACAGAAAAGGCATATATCAAGTCAGTTTAGCAGCCAAGAAAGTTATGTAGGTCTTTCGTTCTGATGTATTTTGAGACTAAGGAAGGCACCAGGAGACAAGTAGAAATGGGCAGAGAAGCCTCATACTGATTAAGTAAAAAATGTTTGCCTACAGGTGAGGTAATTTAATTCCTTTTTAAAAAAGGTATAAAGGCTGAACACATATGCCTAGTTATCATCCTTCAAAGGAAATCAATTATTACTTTATTATAAAAAATACATTAAATTGAACTATATTTGAGACACTGGAGCATGTCCAAAGAAGGGTAATGAAAGCTGTGAAGGATCTAGAGTACAAGTCTTATGAGGAGCAGCTGAGGTAAATGGGATTGTTTAACCCGGAGTAAAGGAGGCTGAGGTGAGATCTTATCCTTCTCTACAACTACCTGAAAGGAGGTTGTAGTGAGGGTGGGTGTGAGTCTCTTGTCCCAAATTGGAAGTGAAAGAGCAAGAAATGGCCTTGAGTTGCATCAGAGGAGGTTTAGATCAGATATGTAAAATTTCTTCAACTGAAGGGTTGCCAAGCACTGGAACAGGCTGTCCAGGGAAGTGGTTGAGTCATCATCTCTGGAAGTATTTATAAGAATTTTAGACATTGTGCTTAGAGACATGGTTAACAGTGGACTTGGTAGTGTTAGTTTAACGGTTGGACTCATTGATTTTAAGAGTCTTTTCCAACCTAAATGAGTCTGTGATTCTACATGTTCACATCGTTTCATTGGCTATGACTGCTAACCACAAGCTACTATGGTCCAATTTTATTGATAGAGCTTATTACTATCTAGAAGATGTGGTTTACCATTTGCCATATTAATATGAAGCACCTTTGAACTACAAGTTTTGTGCAACATTTTTCATAGGCAATTCAAAAAGCAACCTAATCAGTGATTACCATACAATGAGAAGCAACTGGTTTACACAAATTCAAAGGTGTCAAACCTGTTTTCACTAGGAAACCTCTGTATAAGTGGAATAAGTAAAGGCCACTTGAAGTGCTAATGCACGTTTTTACAGCTAAATTTATTAATTCAAAAACAACTTATCTCTCTCTAGAAGTAAGCTTATCATATTTACAACACTAGCATAACCTTTAATTATTCTGACAAGCCTCATAAACAGTATAAGCATTTAAAAAAAAACAAAAGTCAAGAAATTAGTATCAAATATAAGCTACTTTTATTCCACTTCATGGTGCATTTCAAAGCAACCAAAGAACTGGCAAGGTAGCACTGGAAACTTATCTTGTTGCAATTTACTACCTTTGGTATCTTTAATAAGCATATCTACTTCCTGCCTGTATGTATTCCTACAATGCTACAATACAGAAAGATACACCTCATCTTTCTTTTATGGATTTCTAACAAAAATAACATATTATTTGCTGACACATGACCACAATGATTAGAGACCCAGAGAATCATATTCCCATTAATAGTATTTTCATAAGGACAAACTATAATATTGCTCTGTACACATCACTTGCAGTTCTTAATGACAACAGACTGATAAAAATTACAACTTGAAAATAAGATGATTTCAGACAAATGACAGTTGTTAAATTCTTCTTTCCACACTTAAAAAGCACACATACCTTTTCCTAAATGTGTATTTATACTCATGTATCTAGCTGTTCCTGTAAGGCTCTTGTGTTCTCGATATGGTATGTGCTTCTTTGTTTCTGGATCTATATATTCTTTTGCCAAACCAAAATCTATAATATGAATAATTTGCTGGGTTTTGTTTCCAGGTCGTCCTATTAAGAAGTTCTCAGGTTTCACATCTCTGTATATCAAGTTCTTTGAATGGACATATTCCATACGAGAAATCTTTAATAAAAGAAAAAAAGACAGCAAGTTCAGTTTAAGCTTCAGGTTGACACATTAAATTGTGGTAGAAGATATATATCTTATACTGGATTCATATTTAGAGGAAATCACCCCTGCTATCACCTTAAAGCCAAAGGGCTATTGCTTTTAAGTTCTCACAGTTAAAGTAAATGAAAACTGTATATATCACATAAGCAGATACACCACATGGTGTACTGGAAACTTTCACAGTGGACATTAGACATGCATCAGAATATAAAGGAAGTTATCTTTGTTAAGAACAGCTGGCACCAAGTACGTTTTGTGCACATTAAAACCATACCCAGAAATTATGTCATCAGGCAGTGAGCAATAAAGTTCCATGTAGATCTACTGCATATTAAAGGTATAAATGAAAGAAGCACTGCAAGTTCATCACTATGCATATAATATCCATTCTAGCTGACTTGATTTCTATCAGGACTTATTTACTCAGAAACAAACAACAAGTACTAAATAAATGCAATCTTCACATCTGTGAAGATTTGACCATTTTAAAAAATGAACTTCATTGTTTTCACTGTAAATAAGCTGAATATGTCTATATGTCTATAGCTGTAGACCTGTTATACTATTACAATCATGTTTTAAACACCTATTTTTGCCTTTTTAGGCGAGGTTCAGTATCATTAATATTTCATAAGGACTCATTTAAAACACATTGTATCAAGAGAAACATGCAAAGCCTTATTTCTCTTTCCTTCCACTTCCACTCATCCTCAGTTTGAAATCAAATCAGGATATCTTTTAAAAAAGGGACAATTTCTTCATTGAAAAATTTTGTGATATTTTAGTACTTCTAGAAGGGTTTGAGGGATTTCTTTGCTTATTTGCTTTCTTTCCAAGAATGCCCAGGAGAATATTTATGCTATTTAGGAGTCCAAGCATCCAACTGCTTTCATGGATTAAAACTATTTTTATTTCATTAAGATATCTTTTTAATTCTATGAAAATAAAATTCACAATTTCACATTGTGATTATGAGAACTCAGAAGACACAATGAAACTACATTCATGCAATGATTCTTGAAAAACTGAAACAAGGTAAATGGAAGTGACATGAGACAGTCTTCTTGCTAAAACTGTATCAGAGGGTCTTTATAAGCCACCAACACCAACTTAAAACATGGGAAGTACAAATCTCTGAAGTGAAATAAGCATTAAAACCATTAAAGACTGACTTAAATTATTCTAATAAACACTGAATTTAACATCTATTCTACTTACCAACTGCACGGCTATCATAAGAACGGTTTTAAGAGAAAATGTCCTACCACACAAGTCAAATAAATCTTCCAGACTAGGTCCAAGTAGTTCTAGCACCATAGCATTGTATTTGCCACATGGACCAAAATAGTAAACCTGAGGTATTCCATCTGTAAAGTGAAGATACAAAGTAATTATAAAGGGTTAAATAAGATTAATGAACATAGTAATAAAATTTACCCAATTTCAAATTGATCTGAAGTTAAAAACATATTTTTCATACAAAAGCAACAATAAAACCTTGTAGGAACTACACGTAAAAAAACAACAGCAGTCATGACAGCAGTACCAGTTTCATTAAGTGTTTTTCAAATATTACATTTGACTTTTAAAAGATTTAAAGCTTTCTATAAAAAAAAAAAAAAAAAAAACAAAAATCAGTATCTGTTAGGTTTTGTAACAGTACAATGAAACAGGATTTTTAAAAGGTATAAACAGAGGTTTAAATAAGCTCCTTTTCAAAAAAAAATAGGAATTTAAATTTAACTTTTAAAATTAAGGCTATGATAAATCTACAACCATAAATAAAGCCACCTTATCTACAGAAATAATTTTAAAATGTAAAAGATTAATGAATCCTCAAGTTTAATAAGACATTAAGTCAAGTTTTAGATGCATCATCAAAATAAAAGTACTATAGATGACAATTATAGTCATCACTTATCAGTATTCATTTTTTCCCCAATACAAGCATTTTCTACGTAAATTTGCACTGGAAGGCTTCTCCTGTCTTCTGCTCTTCCATTATTTTTGGCTTCTCTAAGTAGCACATGAAAGAAAACATTTTTCTGAAATGCGACTTAGTCCATTAAAAATCTAAACACCAGAGAGTGGAAACTTGCTGGTTTTTTAAATCTAGATTTCTAGCAAAATGTATGGTAGACTGAGACTTACTGATTCAAATTGTATTAAGGACAGGGATTTAATGTAACTTCAAGAACACATGACAAAGGGAATTTTTAGAAGTCTCAAGGGGAACATATGACACCCTGATTTTACTTCAGAAGTATCAGACCAGACACCACCCTTAACTTCTTAATTCTTTCAACAATTGATGTCCAGATTGAATCCATTAAACTCTGTTCTTACTGTCAAATCATTGAAAAATTTAAAAGACAAAATATTTGAATAAAACACAATTTCACATTTAAAATTTTGAAGTAACAAACAAAAATTTAAGTTTTTGTTGTTTTGGTTTTGTTTGATGGGGGTTTTTTGTTGTTTGTTTTTTTTTTTTTTTTAGAACGTAATTACAATAAAAATTAAGTTCGAAACAAGGCATACTTCATTTCCAAACACAATATGGGAACAAGAATATCCTACCATATGTTCAGGTAACCATCTCAAACACTTTTTAAACAAGTATAAAATATATCTACATAGGAGAGCAAAGGGCAAATTTAGTGTTAGAGCCGCATTTGTTTTCAAATCCTGTACGGAGCCTAAAATGTGAACTGTCACTCTGACATCTTATTTCTAAATAACATTTTTCCTGATGTAAAATAAGTGTTATGTTCTCCAACACAAAACACATGAATTATATGTTTATTTGCTGTTCATAAAAAACTATAAAAAAATACTGTACTATTGTGTTGAAAACTTGATTTTTGCTGAGTTATCTGTGGCAGCACTCCAGAAAACCTAGCAGGAACACATACTTACAGTACATGTTTCCTCAGTCAGCTAGTGATACGTAGGCCATAAATGTCCTGAAAACTAGGGCTAAAAGTAACATGCACTACACTGAGATGATTCCCTTACTATCTAGTCTGTTAGCAGAAGCATTGAACAAAGGTCTCCTGATGTGGACAGTTTAGACAAACAAAACTACATGCCACCTGAAAAACTTACTTCTGTTCTCCCTGAACAGAATCATAATAAGCATGTCCATATAACAAGGTCTCTCCTGGTACAGCAGAAGAATCAGTTAAATAGCTTAACAAAACAGTTAAGGTTATCTAAAGATTTAGTAGAGGCATAACCCATTTCCAGTTTAAGTTAGTGCACATATGATGACCCACTTCATTAGAACGTGCTTCCTGAAAGAGTATGTCACAAAATAAAGGCAGGCATCAAAAGACCAGAAGTGTTCTTTAATATTCTCAAGCAATGCATTTACAATTACATCAGCAATAATGTCACATTCTACCTTCATGTCCATATATCTTCATATATCCTCATATATTTTATGAACGACAAACAGCACATTCCAAAAATTAATATGAAAATATTCTGCACTTCTGGACTTTATAGCTTTATATAAATACCTGCCTTACGAAGCCAGACAATCCAGAAGTTTGAAAATATCAATATTTAAGGCCTTATGATCCAATTTTACTTTTGCCTTTTTGTACATATGCATTGTGCGACTATATAATTAATTGGTCACAAAAATAACAAATAAAAAATTTGTATCAGTGCCTCTATTCATCTTGTACTTCCTCATATGCACAGGACCTCTTCCCTACTCAGCAGAATAAATTTTGTTCATTAAGGAAGTTAATTGTTCTGGACATTTTTTGTTCTTCAGCACATATCTCTGTCTCATTTACTCTAAATATTCAATACTCTGAAAACGTAATTTTTTTTTCATGTGATCTTCTATGGTGTCTATTGTTACAATACTGTACAACAGAGAACGAACCAAGTCTATTTACAGAATAACCTTATGAAACACTAGATTTCACCCTCCTTCTCTGTAAGCTTAAAAATTAAATCTTCTGTAACTGGGTGGTTTTAAGCTACAAGAACTCTCAAGTTTTTCATGCCTTACTACAATGCTACTTATGCTCAGGGCACAAACTTGTAATTGTGTCCACTACGGCTTTGGGTAAAAAACCCAACTTACTGCTTCAGCAAAACTAAAAGCAGATTGCATTGTTTGTAAGAGCATTTCCACTGATCTCTTTTCCTGCAAGTGACAATAATGAAAATATAGCCCCTAAACAAATCCAATTAAATTGTTCGATTTTCTGAAGACTAGAGCTTCCATTTATTTTTAAAATATATATTATCATACCCATATCTATACTAACATACTTACACATGCATAATAGCACCCATTTCAGAAAGTCTTCACAGGATTTGCTTATTGCTACTAATGAAGAAGCACAGACCACACTGCACATTACATCAGAACATGGTATAAGATAGGGATTATATTTTTAAGGTTAAAACCACTAACTATCAGATAATGGATCAGAAAAGACATTTGTACACATAAGGGGGCATCATAACTCTAGAATTCAAGATTTCTGCCTCCACTTTCCTGGTATGGTAGAATCGCATGGAAATGTGGGTGTATTCGCAGCAGCAAATTAAGTTATCTGACATATGTACCGAGACATCAGTCCAAAAAACACACCCAGTCAAAACAAAAAAAAAGCAACCACCTGTACATATAAATAGAAATAAAAGAAAAAAAGCACTGGGAGTTTGGAAGAAGGAACAATATTTGTAATGGCCTGAGAAAATATTTTGAGAATCTCTGTCCATATATTTGCTCTTTTAAAGACATTAACTCCAAAATATTCTCTAAAGAAGTCAGTCTCCTCCATTACCACTGCACCTGCTCTGCGTCCCTTTATAACTTTTTTAAATATTAAAGGCACTTCAAAAATACAGAAGCCAGAAGACTTAAGGTATGTCTAGATTTATAGAACGTAACATCATTTGTGTTATTTGCATTACTTCACATCTCTAGATCTCCAGAAGAAAAGTCAGAAAGCAACACATTATTAGTAGAGTATCTGAGTTTTCTTCCACACAGCTGTGATATAAATGTAAACTCTTTTATATAAATCTTTAAGAAAAATTGGTTAAGTTAGAAAAACAAAAACTTGAATTTCTGGGAAATTAATTATTCACCCTTCTGTTGACAAGATAGTCCAATACTTACTACCAATTAAAAGCATATATTTTATTTCCATTTTGTATTACTCTGGTTTCAACGATTAAAGCCCTCTGCTGTAAGCATATAAGGAGAAAATACTGGGAACTCATAAGGCACATCCCAGTCTTCTTTCTGTGAAATTGAAGTAATCAGTGGTTTTGGGTATCTTGCTCAGTAATTACTTCGATTACTATTCAACACTTTCTATTAGCTTAACATATCTTCTACCACATTCTAAAAAATCCTTTTTAAAAAGAAGTACACACATGCACCCCCAAGTTACATGCAGAATTCACCACCTGTCACACTAATGTTCACTATGAAGTTGCAAGTAACTTCCTATTCTTCCATCAAGGAAGAAACTCACCTGTGGACAAGAAATAGTATCACATAATCAAACTAAATCACTTAAACGCTAAAAAAATCTGTATTCCTTTCTAGGTTTGCCACTCTGAATGAGGAATCCTTATTTTCAGATATGAGTCACATCTGACCCCTAGATCTCTATATCTGCTACAAGTAAAACACTTTCATTTAAATGGACTTGATTTACTAAAGCCATCTACAATGCTGTCATAAAATTATAAGCCTATTTTTAAAACAATATGACTTGTAAACCCATTTTACTCACGGTAAAAATTAAGAAAGTTTTGACTTGGGAATTCACTACTTGAATACTGCTTGGATTCCAGTTTCTTTTTCTAGAAACATTCATTTTCATTAGACACATAAAACTTTGTTACTGTACATCAGTGGTCTCCAAAATAGCGCATAAGAGTACCTACCGGTGTGCTGGAAAAAATATGAGAACTTTTTTTTTTCATCTAAAAGTAAGAAACTAGACTTCACTAATATTAAACGTACAGCTTGACACTGGATCACTCACATGGTCAGATGGTTGTGTCAAGCACAGTGCACACAGGAAAGATCCTGGCAAAAGAGTGGGGATGCCGAGATGACAACAGGAGTGTGTTTGTTCACTCACTTTTGCTTATTGCAGTTTACACATGCTCAGTGAAATGGATTTACTGACTATATTATCTAGTTGTCACTAAACTACCTCTCACAAAACAGACAAGCTGCTTAAAACAATTCCTACAAAAACCCCACACATTGAAGATAATGCTACTAATGCTAGCACAAGCAAACAAGAAAACAGCAGAGCACACTTTTTTCCTTGTACAAGGTTATTTTCAAGAAGAATTTTTGGAAAGTGTG